ATTTTCCTTCAAAATAAACCTGATCAAATCCTTACTGTGACAACAGATGGTGACAGAGCAGATGCATCACTGCATCTGAAAGTTCAGTAACTGTCAGTCAAGAGCTGCAGGATGGCTACTCTGAGGTACCACAGAAGAGAATATCGGAAAATAATTAATTCAACAGACAGGTAAAATTATGAAGAAAAAAAAAAGAAAAGAAAAAGAAAATACACTAAGGAGAGGAAAAAAAACCCCACTGCTCTTAATGTACTTCTAGAACAGACTTGTTTTCTTTTGAGGACATGTCATATTTCAGAACTCTCTGGTTAATCACTGCATTTTAAAAATGCCAATACAACAGCAATAGAGCCTATTACTCTGCAATTAGTAACAAAGAAAAAGAAAGGTATGTGTTCTATTTCATACAGGTGTTTATCAGTAGAATAGATGTTCTATCAGTCCCATCAATTCACTTGAGCAATGGAATTCACCTTTTCAGGTGCAACAGAGATGCAACACATCTCTTTGTGTTGTGTCTCTAAGCAAAGAACACTGGCTTGATTGACGGGCAAGACAGTCACCATGACATCTGTGTGCACTCACCTTTATAATAAATATAAGTTAGGTTTTATTAAATAAGCTCACTGAGTCAGACTTTTAGAATTGATTTTAAATGAGATTGTTCTTACTGTAGAACTGTAGGAAAACTGGACAACACCCTATTAAAGCGGAATATGAGGTGACACAACGTAGCTGATCTGGTACAGATGAGTATAGCTGTTTTTATTACTTTATATAAGAAGTAAAGGAAATAGGCATAACCATGTATATTTTTGAATGCCATCAGATGTATCCCATCACCCCATTCTTGGCCATCAAAAATATTATCTTCAAAACAGGGTTCTTGACTGTGGAATCTGACATGCACAGTGATACCCCAGTTTCTGGCCTTAGTGTGGCACCAGTTCATTATGCCATGACCTTGTTTTAAAACTGAGTTAAACACAGTTATACTCTCTTTCTCATTCTCACAAGATTCTCATTATTAACTGTCTACTTTGAATAGACCAGCTACCAATTCTTTTCCCATAAAGCATGAACATTCTAGAGGGACACATTATCCTAAAACTATTTAATGAAAATTTCCTATCTTCTGTATATACAAATATTTCAAAAAGTCTCATGCTACCTGTGGAAAGAAAAGAAACAGTGTTCAAAAAAAAAAAAAAAAGAAAATGATTATAGCATTCTTCCCTGTTACACTTTTTTTTGGTGAATTCAGCATATGAAAGGTGGAGGTTCTACCCTTTGTATTCATCCTAATAGAGATGAGACATACAACATAGGAAAAGAAAGTTTTAAATACACTCCTCTGCCATGATATTTTTATCTATTTCATGTGAAACCTTGTGTTGCCCATGTAGTAGAGAAGCAAGTGTCTATTTATTACATTTGTGAACATGTATGTTAAGTTTTGACTTTCCCATCTGCAGCTGGTGAACATTTTACTTACTTCTTCATGTAGGGACAGGAAGAGGTGAACTGCAGGCCAGAGTAAGATTTATACCTAAACCTTGAATTCCACTGTGTATCTAAGCCAGATATTGCTAATTCATCCTCTTGGCATGGCAACCAGTAAAAGCCAAATCCCAGTGAATTCCAAATAGAAAATGAGAGTTATAATGTATAGTAAAATCTCTAGTAGCTGGAGGCTACATTTGGTTTCTCACTCTGAAAAGGATCAGAAGGCTTTATAAGGACTGCCTAATGCTCATTTCTCTAGATGCTATCAAGTCAATTTTCAGCTGAGATCAGCACATTTGCAAATTCACAGTGGACAATGAAAAGATTGGGAATTGAAAAGAAATGGGCAGTGCTTGTCCTCATTACACCACCACAGTTTACTGACCCGTCATTTGGAAAGAGCTAGCAGGGAGTCGATGCTGCCTTTCAAAACTCACCTGCCTAATGATGGCTTTTGCAGGAGCTGGCATTTGCTGTAATCAGTGTAACAGCTCAACAGAGGTCAGGAGCTCCAAGAAAAGGAAACATGCCCATGTTTCCACTCCCATCCTGGCTGATCAACTTCAGCCTCTGGCTGAAGCCTTGAAATATTCCAGTCTTTGTGCCTCTTTGCTATGAGGTCTATATAATTTTTCTCTGCATTTATGGATATTTTGTTGACAAGGTCATATTTCTTAGTGCATATTTGAAATAGTCAATATATTTTGAGTCCAAAATTATTTTTTTTCTCAACTACTTGTTATTATACTCTTAAATGTTACTATTTACATCCAGTGCATACAGTTCCAATATAGAAAACACATCTAATTTTCTATCTTTTACCATTTCAAGTGTTCTTATCATCATCACTGTCAACTCAGAGAGGGGGAGCTTTATTTCCCTCTTGTCCCACAATCTTCTTCAATTTTTTTTTGTTGTCTGTGGGGTCCTCTTCCAGCATTTTTGCATCATTTTTCCACCACTATTAAATGTACTATCATCATCCTGAGAACCTCTTATTACTTCATGCTGTCCAAATAATTACCATCTTCTTATCAATACACATCACCTTTGATCTTTACATTTTAATTAATATATCTTATCTTTCTAATGATTTTCCAGACAAACCTACTTCCACAATTACTACATTACAGGAAAGCTGCCACATTATGTGCTCTCAACAAGTCTTTTCTAATTACTTTTTCTTTTATCTTTTTAACTTGCTGCAATACTGAGATGTTTGGATAACACTACTGGAGTTGCAGCACCTTACACACCTTTGCAGGTATTTCCTCGTTGTAATGCTAATGGGTCTGTCTGTGCTCCTATTGTCTTCTCCATATCAAGAATATTTTTATGAAGAAATCCTAAGGATTGTTTCCTTGACTCTAGCTTGACAACTGTCTTCCCTTTTACTTAATAATTAAAATCCACATACGTATGTATAAAAATTCTAAGTGAAAATAACCTTAAATTGCCCTGCTAGTGCTCATTAAAAAAAAAAAAACCTGGGGTATTTGTTAAGTGAAATTAAATATACACACCTTTTTTTTTAAAAAAAAGTATAACAGGATGAAGACAACTTTCATGCTCATTATGTGCTTGCAGAAAGAAGTTAAAACTAGCTGTTCAACCTCTCAGATAAAAATTTATTTTATTTTAAAACATCAAGATGACAAGACTATTTGAGATGGTATTTTAATTTTGAGGTAAATGATGTGTTGACAAAACAAGTAAAGTTTCCTGTTTCTTCTCTGCATACCGTGTTAATACTTGCTGTTGACTCTAGCTTGACAACTGTCTTCCCTTTTACTTAATAATTAAAATCCACATATGTATGTATAACATGAAGACAGAAATTAACCTTACATCTTTGTAGCCTTTTCTGACTCTACTCAAAGATATTAACTATTTCATTTAAATTAGGTGAGTTTTCTTAACTTCTTTTATGATAAAAAAACTACAATCCTCTCTACATAAGGTAAGACAAAAAGGAAATCTGGTTTTGAATTCAATGTTCCCTAAAATTTCAGACATCAAGAGATAAGTAAACCTTTTTCTTCTCCAGTATTTGACAGGCAACAAGACCTTTCCAGTCTCACTGCTAATCAAATCAGCCTCTCTTTCCAGTCTGACCTTTTGACTGAGTTTCTTGAAGTGCTCCACAGTAATTCCTTTGGAGTATAATGATTGGTGCTGATGAGAGATGAATGCATTATAATTGCAGGCTGTCCTGACAGAGAGCATGGCCAAACAGCTATTCAAGCCAAGAAAGATATTTTTGCTTTCCACGGGAGTTCTAATGCAGAATAAAATGCCTTGTTGACCCCATGTGACAAGGGTTCCAAAACAGCAGAGATTCCTAAATTATATGCTAGAGTGGTGGGACATTTTAACTGTTTTTTATATATTTCTTGTCTTTATTTTTTAGAGTAATGAAAGCAAAGAGGTAAGTTCAGGGTGAATCATAACAGTGAAAATGGAACCAATTAACTGCTTTTTGTTCATTAGGCAGTATCATCTTCCTTCTTTTGAGATAGGAGCATATCTTTGCACTCTCTGCACTTGATGTTATACAAATTATTACAAAAATTCCCAAATGCAAATACTAACTTCATCTATTGTAGCTTCATTTATACTTACACATATAGTTGTTATTATTGTTAATATTAGTAGTATTATATTATTTTCATTAATTTTTTACATTTGTGCATTGTTTCATGAAGAAAATAGAAAACAAAATAGGAGTAACTCCCTCCTTTGTGAATTACACTCAGTGCAATTCCATATAAATAAAGCTGGACCAGAGAAAGGGAACTGAGAAATATGTTGGCTAACTAAAGATTTGGTGTAAGGGAGGTGAAAGCACTTTTCTTGCTCAAATACATCCTCTTGAAGGCAAGTTTACAGCTCAGTCCTATACATATTTTCTCCTTGTATGAGGAAGCAATTTTTTCCTTCTTATGAATCGGGTTGCTCTGTTTCTCCTTAAAAAGGTTCTTTGCGTGGAAATTATCATTTTATAATTAATAGTTGCCATACACAACGTATACATACTTAACTGTACAGTGTACTGAGTTTTACCTTGGTAACTTTTATTCATCTTTTGTTTAAACAGTAGTGTAGATATTAATTTTTTTATTCCTGCATTTGTCAATAGGCAAAAAAGAAGAAAATTTCCAGAATTTTGGAACATTGATTTCTTCTGGCTAATTCTGTGAAGGATAACGACAACATTCCCGTTTTATAGTAAAATTGGTAAGACACAATCTGAAGAAAAGTATATATATCTTCATCAAATAAGTTAATTTGAAAAGATTAGGTATGTTCTTACTTTGATGAAACACTCCAATTCCCTTTGAGTTGAGAAAGTTAAAACACCAAGGTATTCTCTAAAGAAAATCTACTGAGACTTCTTCAGGTAGAATAATGAATAGCTAGCACACAATTAAAGATAGTTCAACTGAGAATTAGAATTATGAATTTAAAAAACCCAAATTGTTCTTTTTTCTTACCTGCTGGTTTACGGGAAAATTCCTGTTGATTTTTTTAATCTATAAAAACGAATAAAGAAATAGATTAATATTCAGGCACTAGAAAGAACAACAAAACAAAAAAATCCCAACTGGATTTTAGACACATATATTAGACCCTCCCTTCCAAATTATGCTTGGAAAAAAGAAAATAAAATCTCCTGCCGTAAATGAACTGAAACTTTGGCAAGCTCATTTGAGCAATGTAATATTTCTGTGGTCATGAACCACAGGGTTCATTCTGCTATTTAGAATCCAGGAGAGGTGCATACACACAAAATTATTTCTAAATTCTGAAACACTATGTAATTTCCTTTTTTTTTCTTATCACTAGAACAGAAAATTATTAGAAAAAAATTAATTTTTTTCATATTAGAAGATTTAACTCAAAATTATTTCAGAGCAAGTTACTGCCAACCACCAAAGTCATCAAACTCTAAGCAACCTCCTTTCCTTAAGCGATGATGAAGATTTGGGTTGGAACAGCAATGGAAACATCATTTACTCTACCCTTTTATCCTAGGTGCAAAATCAAGTATGCAAAATCAGTTCTGATAATTGTTCAAGTAATTTTTTCTTAAAACATTCAACAATGTCCTTAGGTGAAAAGTAAAGAGAAAACCAGGCTGAGACACCTAATTCATTACAAGCTTCTGTTTAGCCCTGCAGTTCATGGACCTCATCTGAACAAACATTGCCAGCTTTCTGTCACAAGTGTCCAATACAAAAAGAATTATGTGTAGAACATACCCATTCCTACCATTACTAGAAAAAAAAAAAAAGTTTTTTTTAAGCATAAGCTCTGAAAGCTTTTGACAACCTAGTAAATTTAAAATGTGCATTCATGACAGATACCTAATACCTAGAATAAAAACATATTTAAATTAAAGACATTTTCAACTAGGTCTCTGTATGGAATGTAACTGAATGAGCTGAAAAGCCCTGAAAACACAATATAACATTAAACTGCTTCAACCAAACTGCAACATCTTTTTAGAAGAAAAGAAGAATCACCACCGAATTTCCTCCAGTGTTTACAATATTGTCCCTAAACAACACGCAGAGATGTGCTGGCAATGTGTTTTGCAGACTTCAGAACCAGACTGCAGTCGCAAGCTCTTTGAATTCCTCATTCAAATACTGAGCAAGTGTCACTGACATCCCACAATTTTGCTATCAAAGGATAATTCCCACTGTGAAGAACATTATGGCAACTAATTTCAGTTGGTTTTCAAATGTATCCTGCATCAAAAGTGTCAGAAGAACATTTCTACCCTTCCTTCTTTCTTCAATGCTAGTTAAGGAGAAGCATTAGAGGAACAAGGACATTCAAAGAACAAAGAGACAGTATAAATTTAATCCATACAAGATACCAACTCTCTAATGTGATTTTTTTAAAATAAAAAGCAGATAAACCCCACTTTTTTGATCTAAAAAATACTTGAAGACTTCTGGGATTTATTCCTAAATCAAACATTAATTACTCCAGCATGATAAATCCCTGTTTGTGTTAGTAGAAACTATTAATGTCCTTGTCAAAACCATGTATTGTAATCTAAGGAGAGACTACAGCTAATAGCCTGAAAATTTTAAATTCCGAAAGTACAATGTTATGAAAAAGAAATTTTACTTTTCTAAAGATAATACTGAAAATGTTTACTTAGTGGCAAATTACAGTTACATATTAAATAATGTAGGATTGTTTTTATTTAATTCAAACACAAAGATTGCATTTTTTTCACAGGTACAAAGTATATTAGGTACATTGTGTACCGTCAATGTTCTTCTGAAATGTAAGTACATACTTGAAACATCATTTTCTCATTCAAAAATTTCCAGCTCATTTTCTAAAATACAATCTAAGCACCTACATTACATGGTTGTTTTAACTGTTGTTATTTTGATTAATTAAAACAATTAAACTATGTTTTAGGTACATAAGGTGATTTCTTGAAATACATTGTTTTAAATTCTTTTACAGAAACTTCAAAACTGCATCATAGTTGTTCAAGTCTACCTGAAACTAAAAACTGCTAAGTATGATTAGTTTTAGGAACACCTAAATGTTTATCATTCATGTGCATAAATATTGAATAATACAGAATAAAAAAATTCAACAATTAGGCAGCACACATATGTTCTTCCCAGCATGTTACAATGTATATTGAGTAAAATTTAATTTCCAGACCTAAATTATTTGGTCCTTAAAACCTATAAGTAAACATTTTCCAGAAATGAAAGGAGAAAAAAAAATCTTCAGTTACTTTACTAGTTATCTAAAAGAGAAATGTTGTTTCAGTCTTCCATAACTTTACTGAACTCACTGTAATACTATGTGTAATTAAGCACATAGTATTACTGATGCAATTAAATAAAATTTGTTTTCACCAGTTCAACATGCTGCAAATATACATGAATGTAATATTTCTAAATAAAACACCAGCAGACAAATAAAGTAATAAAATAAAGTAAACAAAAGTAAATAAAGTAAATAAAAAACCAGCAGATATTATACTTTAAAAACAGAGGTGTTCTGAGAATATTCTTTAGAAAGATGTGTTTGTACAGAGCAATTAAGAATCAGGAATGGCACAAAAGGAGACAGAAGAAGAAGCTAGAAAACAAACACTTGTCTGAAGACAAATACAATGTAGGCTGATCTGAAGTTAGCAAGAACTACCTGCTTCTACCTCAAACACAAAAAACCAGGTGCTGATGGATGATATTCTATTCTGATTCAATTTCTATTAATGCAAATTAGGAAAAAAAAATCTAAGAACACCATAGAGAAAGTGATTTGGGAATTGATGATCAATTCAAGGTGGAAGGAGGAGGAAGGAATCAGAAAAAAAGTCACTGCAGTATCCTGCATCTGACAAGGAAATTGATAAGTGGTGATAATACAAGACTAATAGTGGTATCATAGAAACACAGAATGGTTTAGATTGGAAGGAACATTAAAGGTCACCTAATTCCAACCCCCTACCATGCTCAGGGACACCTTCCACAAAACCAGGTTGTTCAGAGCTCCAACCAGAGCTCTGGCTTTGAAAACTTTCAGGGATGGGAAGAATATATTTTAGTGAAAGCTGTCAAAGAAGATTGATTCAAAATATAACTGATTGTTAATGGTACAAATACATTTTACTAGCTATGTTCCAAAAATTCATCTCACAGTATGTTTGGATATCATAGACATCAAGAATACTGGGCAGGGAGATGATATGAAGTGGAACATAATGAAAAATGTCCCATGGCCAAATTCAGTCATTTTTGTGCACTAGATGTTTCAACCACAGATGGATATTTTCACAGTGATGGCTGTGCCTGCTCTGCAGAGGAAACAAACAAGAACATGGAACACAGCACTTCTCAGCAGGTACACAAATGAGCAGACCTTGGCTTCAGGTGTGCACAACGATTGCAAATGTTTGGGGCTTTTTAAATTTTATTATTTAAAAGTCTTTGTGCCAAAGAAGCAGTAATACAGTAGAATACTGCCATACTATTCCATACTATTATCTTTTTCCATTAATTGTAGCCTATTATTGTTGCCCTCTGCTGAAATGCAGCTGATTAAGCTCATAAAAGCTGTGTTTTAAATTTTCACATTCAGTTACAGCTGAACTGAATTGTTCACTCCTCTGAGAGATTTTCAGACCTTCTTGGGGCCAATAGCACAGCAATATTTATTTTCAGTTTCCATATGAGGATTTTAAAGTGTAATTTGAAAACTACTATTTATTAAGGGGTTTTTTTCCCTTTCTTACCTATTTATATTAATGAAATCTGCTCTTCCAATTTAATCACAGGATCCCCATGAGATGATGAGGAAATGTATCTTTCAATAAGCACAGGTACTCTTAAAAGTAGTAAGATCAAGAGATTCCAGGTTTCTCCAATCCTTAAAAATTTAAATAGAAGCAATCAGGTGTTTGAAAACTCTATGTGTACCACACTCACTTTGATCCTCTTTCATGATAAACTATACTGTAAATTAGACTCAAAGTTCTAAAAGGTTAATGGGAAAGATGACTAATAGACAATTAAGACTCAGGCAATACATCTGGTCCTAGAAGAAAGAATAACAGAGTAGGTGTTAGTTGTTAGGACAGAGATCCTGACAGAGACCATTCCATTGGAGTACCTAGGGAAACAGCCAAGGCAACATATGAAACAAGTGGGCACCAGTGCCTGCTCAGCCTTTTGCTGACTTAGGCAGTAAATAAGATACTCCCCATGCTTTCACACATGATTTGATCTCTCATTTTCTTGCAGTCTGTAGACATCATATAATTTTGCAGGTCACAGTCATTTTCCAGTTTAAAAGAACCTTTTATTATTTTAATTTATGCTAGCCATTGATATGGACTTCCCCAAACAATTTAGACTCTGTAACCTTCTCTATCAATTGTTTACATTACACAACTGCTGACTCACATTCATTAATAGGTGATTAAAATAGAATAGCTTGAGAAGAATGTAAATCCATTACATACTTCTTCATCTCATGCATAGAGATGAAGACAAGCAACAATACAGTTTGTGCCATTGGGATGTTAAGTGATTCCAAAGAGGAAGCTAGATCATTAAGATCTGGAAGAAAACATGAGTCCATGCTGTGATAATCTTATGTTCCTGAATAAGAAAGAGTACATACCACTTCAAATTACTAGTTGGCTAGTCTTACTTTCTGTCCTTGCTAGGTTTTTATTTACTCAATGGGATAGGGAAATTGTGGTAAGACTGTGAAATTTTGTTGTCCAAGAGTTTATGTCCATTGAAAGAATCAGAGAAGATTTGAAAGAATCACGCAACCCCCACAAAATACATCATATATTGGTGAATGCATTAAATAATTGCCTATAGAACAAATATAGCAGTTCTTGGTGCTGGTTTAACAAGCTGCAGTAGATTTTAGAATTCACACTAAAAATTCCTATAAGCTAAGTTATGCAAAACGATCAGCCAATATGTTCTGGAAAATATGGGAGGATAGGAAGTATTTAATTCACATCTGC